TCCTGGACGGGGCCTGCTGCGTTCGGGTCTTTATTGACATACTTACCTAGGTAACCTTGCTGGATCAACTCCTCTATGGCAATCTGGAGCGTGCGGCAGGTCTTGGTAGAATGACCCTTCCTCTTGTGATATTGGCAATACGCGTCATAGCGCCCCATGTACGCTTCTGTGTCCTTTGGAGGGGGGATCAGATCCTTCTCATTCTGTAAGATGGAAGCAATGGAAAGGACGAGCGGTGTAAATCGGTTTGTTTTCGTAACATTTGTGGCCGCCGGGCTAGGACCCAGCCGATTGGCCAACTACGCGAGCGCATGTGGTGCCCTCCGATCCCTGATCGTGATTTCCTCCTCCGGACCGGCATGCCTCTGTGCCCGTTCCAGAACATCCACATAACTGGTCCCTGGATTTTTCTTCAAATCCCGGTATAACTCCCGGGTTTGAAGAGCATCGGTAAATAGCGTGATTGTCGTGCAATCTGTCAAGTTCTCTACCTTCAACGCCTCATCCATCCACCTCGTCAAGAACTGGGTGATGCATTCTTTGGGCCTCTGGCGGACACTGGTAAGATGGCTAAAGTGCCTCTTCGGGGTAGCACTTGAATCAAATTGTGCCAGGAACAAGGTAGACAGGGCGGCAAAACTCTCGATCGACTCAGGTTGTAGATGTCTGAACCATTCCTGGGCAGGTCCTCGGAGAGCGCTAAAAAACAGCTTGGAGATGGCCACCTTAGAGGCTCCCAAGAGCATGAGCCCTCCCTGGTAGCTCATTAGGTGTGCATTGGGGTCTCCTACCCCATTATAAACTTGGCTGACCGAGGGCCTGCAATCCCTCTAGATCTCCACTTCCATTATTTCCCTTGTAAAGGGAGATGTAATCCCCACACGGGGTGGTGGGGGCGTCTGATTCTACTGACGAGTGAGCTCGTTCACTTGTAATTGCAAGGCGGCCAACGCTACTTCCTATGCCATTCGAGGCGGTGTTAACAAATCAACCCTTTCAGGGGTTCTTTCCGCTCGATGTGTCGCTGCCTCCTGACGTCTTCCTGCAAATTGATCTTCATCTCTTTTGATGTACTGGAAATTTCTCCCTGTTGGGTTTACCACTGGGGTTCGTTCCCTGTACTGAGCCTCCTGCCTAGTCACGAACGGGGTACGATCCGAGGGTGTATGTTGTTGGTACCCGGAAGTATGGGCCTTTCGGCGCCCTCCTTGAACCAACAGTGAGTAGATTGAAGCCCTCGTCGACTCTGTGTCTATGAATGCAACGGCTGCATGCTATTAATTGGTGAGGGAGTTGAATACTCGGTGTCCCCGGCGTACGTAGAGTAACCATCGTCATGTTCATTAGCCATTCGGTGCATAATTTCTGTTATTTTTCTCATCACCCGAGGATCTCTTCTTGCAGCTTCAGGGATTAGATGGGTAAGGTCCCCATCATATTCCTGACTGGCTACCGCTGGTGTGGCTCTCCGTTGCTCAGGTTCCGGAGGACCTATTGCCCCCTGCTCCCTGGAAGTACCATGGGTATTTTCAGATGTCCTTCTGTCCATGATGACGTGTGTAAACTTTGTTTAAATCAGTGTTTTGCTTTAGAAAACTTTTAGTAAACGTTTCCCACAGATGGCGCCAATGTTGAGGTTTAGTCCTGAATGACCCGAAGGCCCAACACCAACCTTGATCTAAGGTGCGATTTGCTACAGTAAAGTGTATAAAAGAAAATATAAAATCTAATTCAACTACTCAATTAACTCAGCTTGTATTAATGCATTAATAACAATTACACGGAAAGACCGAACGGGAGTTACGGTGCAAAGGCTAATACAAGAGCTAGAATGCTATTAGAGCTTGTGAGTAAACAAATGCTAACCCTTTTCCTGAAATAAATGTTGCTATTTATACTAGAACTAGGTAGGTGGGGGTATGGGGCGCTCCGATGTGATTGGTTGCTTCCCATTCCACTTGAGGACCCATGCTTCTACTTGAGACCTCCATGCTCCAGCATTAAATGCAGCTCACCACTTGTGCAGACTCCTGATCTGCACTAGGACCCATTGAGCCGTCAATTCAGAAGGTCACTGCGATGTAAGTGCTGACTAGGTCCCGTTCGGGATGTGCCGAATGGGTATCTTTTAAACTTGTCCAATTCCTGTTCGGGAGCCCATTGTTTCGCCTTGGGCCTTCCCCTGTTCTTGGGCCCCACGAATATTTTTGGGCTGGTATATTGGGTCGGACCCTAGTATCCCATCAATAGGCATGGACCGGTTCTGGGCTGGGCCCTGGGCCGGTCCATAACGGGCTTTTTTGTTGTGGGTTAAGGCTCGGAACCGGCCCAGGATTCTACCAGGCCTGGGCCGGGTAACTTTTTTTTGTTTCCTGATTACTTCCTACCCCCCACACCCTAAACACACATACTTGTCACGACGGTAAGTCGAGTCGCGGCGCCAGCCGACCGCCATATCGCCAAGGCGACAAGGCGCTCGCCTAGGCGACAATTAGACGACTAGTCGCCCATATGTGTATATTATATTATATATTGTATATATAATTATATATTTACGTATATAATTATATATTTAATTATATATTGTGTATAATATATTACTAACTAAATGTATATAACCCGGTATTGAAATCCACAATTAATAATTAAAAACAAGGTTTATTAATGGGAATTTAGATTAAAAATGTATATCTCAATTCTCAAATAAGCAGCGTAAAGATCAAACTAGTAAGTTCTCAAAAGTCATCAAGGACTAAATCATCTCTACGGCCTTCATTGCCCTGATCATCATCATCATGAGTAGGAGTGGGTGGTGTTTGGCCATAGTCATCTTCAACATCTTCATCATCATTTGGAAAACTTTCCTCTTCATTGTTCATGTCTTCATCAATTAACCTTAAAGAAGAATTCGAACCACGACGTCGATAATAAACCGGTTCTCCACGAGAGCTACTAGTTCTAGGAAGATTACGACCCTGAAGATTGCTTGATGCACCCACAGCTTCATCAACGTGACTCCATAGAAGATCATCACCAGGATGAACAACTTCATTGTTGACCCATTCATTGTCCCATTGGAAATCTTCAAATATTAAATGGTTAAAGTTTGTTCCTTCTTCACGCCACTTCTGAAATTTGGTTCCATCTTCAACCTCTTATGCTCCAACATGTTTCTGCTTTTTTTATGAATCTAAAATAAAGATAAAAAATATATTTGATAAGTGTTTTGATTTAATTAGTTAAAATCTTGTATAATTTAAAAATTGTAGTTAGTATTCAAAATTGTAAGTCTATTACTTACAAACTCAAAAGTACTCCAATTACGCTTGCAGCCAGAAGAGGTACAACATAGACCAACTATGCGTTTTATGAACGATTGCAGCTCAACAGCCAGTCCACAAAAAGCATCCCACCAATCAACTATAAATTAATCACAAATAAAATATTAGTTAATTTTTAATATATTTAAACTAATTTAAAATATAATAAAAAGAATCACTTACGAGGACTCTTAGATTTTTGTTGCTTAATCGCGAGTTGCTTTGCAAAACTTCCTCTCAATTTGTCATAATTTGTCGCTTGATCACTTATCTTGGCCTGCAATGTTTCATCAATGACCATCTTTTCAAGCACATCGTTAAACACTGATCGGTTCCTTGATGCTTATGTGGGATCTGTCTGTTTGAGATCAAAATATTTAGACGGATTTAAAAACAAAGTTGCCCCGTATAATTTGACCTCCATGTGGACTTCCCATCTTGTCTCAATGATCCCAACTAGGCTTCTCAAAAGTCTAGGCTTATTTTCAAATGACTCGCTGATTTTTTTTCTTGGCACAATCCATGGCTAGTGAAAGCTCTGGCATAGCCGGTTTCTCATCAGCATCAACTATCCTTAAGACAATTAAAAGCGGCTGTGAAGCACGTATGCAATCTACCACTGCACTCAAGAATCTGACAGACAACACGATCTCACTAACCTTCATTCCTGCTTCGGTGGCGGCCAATTTAGATCTACCCCAATCCAAACCGCTAAATTGATTTCTCAATGCTTCTCTGTGTTTATATATAGATTGCAAAGTGAGAAACGCTGTTGCAAATCGAGTAACTCCAAGTCTTACAAGATCCTTCCCACACGTCTTGCTTTTTCAATGTTGGTGTTGGGATATTGGGCCGCAGGTCCAATACCCGGATCCAAGGCCCAAGATATCCAGTCCGATAGATGGGCCCATAATCCAGAAGATGAATAGGCTCATGGAAAATATGTACCGAACGAGGTTCGGGTCAAATAAAGGCTGGCCTGGAAATAGATATGCCAAATGGGGTTCGGGTCATATATCATACTTGGACCAACTTAAATGACGTTTTCCATATGGTCCATTATCCCGTTCGGGCAACGGATAACGTGCAAGTGGCCAGAATGCATTAAATGCCAGATTACGACATTAACAAGTAGAAGCATGGGCACCCAAGTCGGTGGATTAACAACCAATCAGCATGGAGCATGGAACAACCAATTGAGGATTTAATATCATTGTAAAGGGTTAGCATTTTCATACTCAAGCTCTAGAATAGCATTATCACTCTTGTTTTTGTATTAATCAGTACTCTGACATACCGATCGGGAGATTTCTGTGTAATCACCAGGTTATTTAATACAAAGGGAGCTTTTGAATAATTGAGATCCATATTTTATATTTCTCAATACGAGTGATTCTTGACCCATTTTCCTAATATATCCAATGTTCGTGATGGGCTTCCGGATCTGCGGGATTAAACCTCAGCATTGGCGCCGTCTGTGGGAAACACTGGACAAAAAGTTTCACACCAAACAACAAACTATTTACAAAATGGTTAGAATCACTTCTCAGCACACCGGAGAAACCTCAGAAAGACGCGGGGAAAGCCGGACCCCCAAGGGCAATCCAGTCGGGGATCCTATCCGCACTTTGATGGGGATTTCTTCATTCCCGACGCTCTGAGGAGGAACCCCCATGCCATGCGGGATTTGGCTCAGGTCATGCAACACCTGGTGGATGAGCAGGATGGGGGCAATCTAGCTATACGGGGGAAACTGGGTACACAACCCCGTCTACGATGCAGTCATTCGATGATGATACCACTGATGCAGAAACAACCACGGCATCGAATCATTCACGAATTCATCGGGGAGAGCGCGGAAGAGCCCATGCCTTCAGGGGCAGGCACCATACTCCTAGCGACCACACCCCGACCGGGTCCCGGGCCAGGGGAGATACGCCGGTTGGCCGCCATTTCCGTTATGGGGAACATAATAATACGCGATTCGGGCAAAGACGTCAGAATCAAAGAACAACCCCATCGGAAGGAAATCGGGAGTTTGTTAACCGGGGAACTCCACCTCCACCTCCCCTAACAGCCCAGGAGGAAGAAATGGCCGAAATGAGGAGGCAGATGAACGGTCAACCGTGCGGTTTTTTTAAACCCCAGAGGGGAGTCAAACAGGGAGACCCCTATCCCCCTACCTATTCCTAATTGCTATCGAAAGCTTTAGTCGAGGCTTACATAAATTAGTACATAACCAACAAATTAAGCCCTATCTAATAGGGGGAAAACGAGCCCCGGTTGCTGAACTTGGTTATGCAGATGACCTCCTACTGTTCTTGAACGACTCCTCTATTACCATCAAAAAGCTTTTAAACTTCCAGGACCTTTTTCTCCAGCTCTACGGGACAGCTAGTTAACCTGGAAAAATGCAACATAATTGTGAGTAAAGGGACAAATCTGGCTAGAAAAAGAGAACTGCAAAAACTTTCCAAGATGACAGTTTGTAACCTTCCAATTACTTACCTAGGGGTTCGCCTCCACCAAGGGATTACCAGAGTTGAACACTGCTCCAAAATCATCAGCGACTTTGAATCCAGACTCCACACCTGGAACAAAAAGCAACTTAATCAGAGTGGCCGATTGGTACTTATAAATCATGTCCTATCTACTATCCCATTACATCATCTTGTTATTACAAAATTCCCAGCTAAAGTGTTTCAAATTCTGAATCGCTTATTGGCAAACTTTTTCGGCGGATCGAGTAATAACAAACATCGCTATCATTGGAAGAAATGGGAATCACTTTGCAGACCTGGGGATGAGGGGGGTTGAATGTCAGATCGCTCAAGCACATACAGGAGGCTCAACACCTCAAAATGTGGTGGAAGTTAAGAAACAAGAAATCTACATGGTCTAGATTTATGCATGAAAGATACCTAAGATCAAAACAGCTGAACTCCAAACCTAAAGACAGTGCAGTGTAAGGAATAATTGTAATTAGATTTTGATAATGCTATATTTATTAGGAATTTAGAGTACCCCTCTTTAGTTTTAATATTTTAGATATTTTCCTTGTAAAGTTTCTTATATTAATGGACTGACAGAAGACCTCCCGACAGAAGACCTCCTGACAGAAGATCCTCTGATAGGCTTTGTCCTCACAGAAGACCTTTGGCCCTCTGTTGATCTTTACTCAGAAGGAAACCCTCTGGATCTCTGTTGGACATCACTACAACAGAAACCCTCTTAACTCTCTGTTAGTTCGCATCTGACAGAAGACCTAAAGGACCCTCTAATAGATTTTCCAACAGAAGTGCTCAAGACCTTCTCTGATAAAGACACCAGAAGGCCTGATGACACTTAGAGAATTTTACCAAGCCGGTAAACCAACTGAAGATTCCTTCATCGGTTAGGAATCTTGAACGGAAAAGCTACAGTACGCGCATTAAATGCACATTTAATGCACCCCGTACCCTGTAGAGTAAATGCAGATGATTGGCCGCATTGTCAGGATAGCTTTATCCCAAAATAGTAACCCGCCAACTTTCCAGGGTCCTACTGGCCAAGTCAACTGTTCGCGCATTTAATGCAGTTGTCCTCCTTCTCCTCCAACGGGAAGACAACCTCAGTATAAAAGATACTTTACGAAGAACAACCAAAGAACTTTGCTACAACATTACGAATACAGAAACATTCAAACATTCAAACGTACAAGCCTCCTTGAGATTAAACCTTCATCATCTTCTACAAGAGAAGGCAGACGTTGGAAAGATCCTTATTTCCAACTCAAGCAAAGTTCCATTTGTTCTTCAAACACTTCAAGCACTTCAACAAATACATCTTTTGTAATGAAGCAAGTTGGAGGAACCCCTGTTTCATCTATAAACTCTTCTTTAACGAGAAGGACGTCCAAGTAACTGGAGCAGTGAAGTGGTGATACTTCCGGGAAGCTCAGCGAAAAGACCAGTCTTAAAGGAAGCCAGGAAGTGCATCCCAGGAGACATCTACACTTGAAGAAGACGTGGAGAGCTTCTTAAGTGCTAAGACTAAGGCATTGTAAATGGACGTTTTTACAAGCTTAGTGGAACAGTGGATTAGAGGAACGAGTTGTTCCTTGAACCACTATAAAAATCCCTGGTGTCATTTACTTACTGCATTTACTTATCGCATTTAGTTAGAACTGATTAACTCCAAAGACTTGGTCTCTGTGTTTAGCAGAACGTGTCTTGTGAGTTAACAGAAGGCCTACTGCCTTTGCTTCTCTGAGGCTAATCGAACAGAACCCCTACCAGAACCCCATCCGATGCGAGTCTGTTCTGTCAACAGAACAGGCTATTCTGTTAAATCTGGTATTTAGCTTGAAAAAGTTTAACACCAATACAGTCTATTCACCCCCCCTCTAGACTGTATGCAGTTCAACCGGGACCAACAAGTGGTATCAGAGCCTCCTTGTTCTAATAATCTCTTAGGTTATTTGGTGAATAAAGATCCACTTGTTTTCTTTTTGCCTCTGTTTTAAATCTCATATTATGGATCACTCTCTTTCCAAGAATCTTATGTTCTCAGATCTTAAGTTTGATGACTGGAGGATCCGGATGAAGGCACATCTCTGTGCTCTTCATGATGAGATGTGGGAAGTACTGGACATTGGGCCATTTACAAGCTTCCAGAAGGTCAACCCTGAGCATGCTATTGAAGGACTTGTATGCTATTGCTAGGAGATTCAAGAAATTTATGAAGAATCCCAAAGATGGAAGAAGTCCATCTTCCAGCAGAAAGCCATTCCAGAAACCCAAAGCAACAGAAAGCAGTGGTGAGCTTCTCTGTTACAACTGCAGACAACCTGGATATTTCAAGGCAGATTGTTTACATCCAAGAGTGTCTAAGTGACAAAGGCATGATGGACAAGAGTGTCCAGAAGGAGGAAAGCTCTCGTCACAGAACAACTGGAGAAAGACCCCCTTTCTGAGACAGAATCCAGTTCTGACTCTGATTCTGATGAGGCCTTCTGTTGCCTTGATACTGATACAGAAGACCTATGCCTCATGGCTCATTCTGATGATGAGGTAACCTCTACTTCTACATCTAGTTTTTCTTCGGTAGGCTTAGCTTTTGATTCTGATTCAATGTCAGAATTTTGGGAATAGTTTATGGCCATCCAAACCACTTATTCCTCTGTTACAGAAGAAAATAGTAAGCTTAAGGTTGAGATTCTTGACTTAAGGAAGGAGGTTGAGATCAAAATCAATCTTCTAATTAAGGAGAGAGATCAGCTGGAAGCTGAAAATGTTTCTCTTCTCAAGAGAATAAGAGATATTGAGCCTCTTGAGATTAAGTACAAAGCTTACCAGAAGGCCCAGTCTTCCATGGAAAAGATTGTGCTTGATCAACAGATTGGCATTGGATTTGGTCTTGGATATGGCTCAACAGAATCAGGTGAGCCTTCTGTAATGCCTAGCACCAGTGTTGCTAAGGTAGATAAGGTCATAGTGCCACTGATTTCTAGCCCCATCTGCGAAGCTAGTGTATCTGGCACCAAAGTTATTCATGAGGAAGTCAGACCAGAAAAAGGAAAGATAAAGGTTCAACAGAAACCTCTTTTGAAAATCAATGAACCTGGCAGAAAACCTAACAACAGAAAGGGTTTTTAGAATAACAAAAATAAAAGACAAATCATTAACAGACAGCCTCATGATAACAATGCCAGAAATGATCACCAGAAGGGCAGATATCAAGAGAGAGTTAACTTTAGGCAGAAGAGGTTGGCTGGTCAACTTCAGAAGCCCCAAGCTAACCGCCCCTCTGCTCTTGATAGTATATGGGACTTCTGTCCAACAAAGAAAGCTATGAAAAAGTACGTAAACAGGAAGCATGACCCTCACAAGCATCTGCCCAAAGTGAATCACACTTCGGTTTACTATAACTACCCGGTGGACAATGGGTACCATCCACCAAGGTTTCACCTGATGAGACCAAAATGGTACCAACTACCTAGACTCCATGACCCCCCAGGACCCAACATTGCTTGGGTACCTAAATCTTTCTTTTGATCATGCAGGAACTGTGTGCTGGAGCTATCTCAGAGCAAGAATGGTTTATTGACAGTGGATGCTCCAGGAACATGACAAGTGACAGAAGTTGCCTAACAGAGTTCCTTAAATGCAAAGGACCTAGAGTTACCTTTGGAGGTAATGACAAAGAAGGTCAAACAAAAGGAAGAGGGAAGCTGATCAAGAACCAGATAGTCCTTGATGATGTCTCATATGTCAAAGGCCTGAAGTTCAACTTGCTGAGTGCTAGCCAATTCTGTGACAAAGGCTACACCGTTGAATTCACAAAGGACTTCTGCTATGTGAAGCATGAGACAACAAAGGAAGTGGTTCTTACAGCATCAAGGAAGAAGAACATCTATGTGGTTGATTGGAAAACTGCAAAGGATGGAGTATGCTTGATAGCCAAAGGAGATTCAAAACTAAGCTGGGACTGGCACAAGAAGCTTAGCCATTTGAACTTCAAAACAATCAACAAACTGGCAAGAGAACACATTGTAGAAGGACTGCCAGACATAGTATACAAGAAAGAGACTCTCTGCCAGAAGGGAAAGCAACAGAAGAACTCTTTCAAACCCATTGTTGGAGATCTTTCTACAAGTCAATTTAATCTGATCCACATGGATTTATTTGGACCTGTTGAGACTCCAAGTGTTGGTGGCAAGAAGTACACCCTAGTCATGGTTGATGACTACTCCAGATATACATGGACTATCTTCTTGTCAAAGAAAAATGAAACTCTTCAGAAGTTGTCATCTCTGTTAAAGCAACTTCAGACTGAGAATAATTTGAAAGTCAGGACAATCAGGTCTGGCGTAGGAACTGAATTTGTCAACCAATTCATAAAGGACTTCTGTGATCAAAATGGAACCTTTCATCAACTCTCTGCCGTCAGAACACCTCAACAGAATGGCGTAGCAGAAAGGCGAAACAGGACGTTAAAAGAAGCTGCAAGAACAATGATTGCAGAATCTAGACTACCAATGAGATACTGGACTGAAGCAATCAACACTGCATGCTACACCCAGAACAGAAGTATGATCAACAAGAATCACCAGAAGACCCCTTATGAACTTTGGAAAGGAAGAAAACCTAACATCAGTTACTTTTATGTATTTGGATGCAAATGCTACATTCTCAACAATGGAAAGGAGCATCTGAAGGTATTTCAAGAGAAAGCTGATGAAGGTGTATTCATAGGCTATTCAAGCACCAGTAAAGCCTATAGAGTACTCAACAGAAGAACCCAACATGTTGAAGATCTATACATGTAAAGTTTGATGATAGCATCTCTTTTAAAGAAGTAACAGAGACCCTCAAAGAAGTCAACATAGAAGACAGAACACCTGAACCAACAAAAGAGGTAGCAGATAATCTTGTGTTCTCTACACTTGCACTAAACCCCCTTCTGTTAAATGAAGATGAAGATTCAGAAGAAGAGGAACCAGAGAGACCAAGACAACAACTGACACAACCTGATCTGACATGGTTAAGGGATCATCCTCCTAACCAAGTGATTGGACAAGTCAGAAGTGGTGTGAGAACAGATCTACTACCACAAGGAGAGAAGCAATGTTTGCCTGCTATATATCTCAGATGGAACCCATGACAGTAGAAGAAGCTCTTGCAGACTCAGATTGGATCAATGCAATGCAAGAAGAGCTTACTCAATTTGAAAGGAACAAAGTATGGGAACTTGTTCCTAGACCAAAGCACCAGAACGTGATTGGAACCAAATGGGTATTCAAGAACAAAGCTGATGAAGATGTTAACATTGTAAGGAATAAAGCAAGGCTGGTAGCCAAGGGATACTACCAAGAAGAAGGAATAGATTTTGATGAGACTTTTCCACGAGTTGCCAGACTGGAAGCCATCAGAATATTCTTAGCTTATGCTGCCTACAACAACATCAAGGTCTACCAGATGGATGTCAAAAGTGCATTTCTGAATGGTGATCTTGAAGAAGAAGTTTATGTGGAACAA